TTACACCTCACAGCCTCATGGGACCCTGGGGAGCTACTTCAGGTCTCAGCCATCTGAGGGGACACAGCCAGGCTCTCAGCCCAGAAAAAGCCTTCCCTGGGAACCTACCCACTTCCAATCCCCCCCGCCCCCAGGGAGCATGCCTTCTGGGAAACCAGCTGGTGAAGACCAGGCAGGCCCGACCCCACCCTCCCCCTTCCTTGGAGGTCCTTCCTGAGGGGCTCTCTTCCCAGCAGCCTGGGCGGGAAGCAGGGAGAGGTGCCACCAGCAAGCCTTCCTGGGAGCCGCTGCTGATGCTCAAACGGTTCCCACTCGGCCCGTCTGGGGCTCTCCATCCGCCCAGTCAGGCACCTGAGCAGCGGGCACCGGCATCTTCCTCTGCCCCCCTCCCTCGCACCTCGCTCAGAAGCTACCTTAGCTGTCCCCCCACCGAGGGACTCCAGCCAATTTAGGAAGGACCCCGATTCCCAGGGTCAAAGACCCTCCTCAGGCTGACCCCAAGGCCCAAACTAACCCATCTGTTCTGCACCTTCTACACCCAGGGCCAGCGGCTGTGTCCCCTGGTGGAGAATCATAAAAATGTTCTATGTCCCCGGACGGGGAAGGGAGCCCCCAGGCTGACCACCGATCCAGGAGACCCAAGGAGACAGCAGGGCTGAGGGCTGGGTGGGAGACTTGCAGGCCTGAGGCAGGTAAAGCATCCCTCACTTTCCACCATCCTCCCCAGTCCTCACCTGGAATCCAGATGAAACGGGGCTGACGGGAACACCAAAAGCATCCCTCAGGGTGGGAGTAAGATCCCAAACAGGGGCGCACACAAGAAGGAACGCCATTCGCTTTGCAAAGTGGTGGAGGGCAGGACTGGCCAGGTTCCCCCTTCACATCCCCGCTGCTGGCCTCCGGGGCCTGGCCTCTGGTAGCAGTGCCTGGGGGCCCTCCACTCGCTATGCTACCCCATGTAGCCCAGCCTTTGCTGCCATCTCTCCCCCCACCAGCCCCGCCTCCCCAGCCAGACCAGGAGGGACCTCAGCAGCTTATGTCGGAAAGTCAGGACACCTTCCCTGTGGGAGTGGGATAATCCACAGGGGTGCAGCCAGGAGACCTCTGTACCTCCCACCTCCAGCCAGCTGAGGGCACTGCTCCTGCCCTATTTGCCCTCGGAAGCCCCCCAACCAACAGGGAGATGAGGCCAGGGGACCTCTGCCTTGGTGTCCAGAACTGGGCAAAGGTTTGGGCTTTTTTAAAAAATCAGGCTGTCTAGGATGGCGGGCCTAAGGGGGGCGGGGGTGGGGGAAGTGGGGTGATGGAGTGTAACAATTCTTCCTTTCCATCCCAGCCCTCCAGCTGTTTAGCTCCAGGACTTCTTCCTAAATGGAAATCGGGTTTCAGCCCTCCTGGGGTGCCCCTTCCCCCATCCCCCTCCAGGGGTGTGACCCTACCACAGTGAGGATGCACAGCTGCGGAAGGGGAGGCATGGCCTGGTGGGCATCTTCCCTGGGGTTGAGCAAGGCTCTGGCCCAGTCATCATTGCCCTTGGGCTGTGATACACAGAGACGCTCTGAGGAGGGGCCTGTAATGGGCAGCAGGGAGGGCTGGGGGGTCAAGGAACGAAAGAGGAAGGGAGGCTGACAATCAGCTTGTGGGCAGGGAAGGTGGTCCTCGGGGCTCCCCACCCCACACACGGACCCTCTTCGCTGAGCCCCGAGGCCTGAGGTGGCCAGTAATCTTTCTTCAACAACTCAGAAGAGCACAGGTCTGTCCCCTAAACCTGCCCCCCTCATTTCCTTCCTTAATATCTGAACGTTTTAAGGGGAGGGGCAAAAGGAATGGCGCTGTTTGAAGCACGAAGACTAATATGCACCATGAGTGTATCATGATCATCACTATGAAACCCTAACTCTCCCCCATCCCCCCTAAATAAAGCCTCTTATCTTCCCCAGCTCAGAAGGAATCTGGCCTCCCCCCCCACCCACCCACTTCCTAGCTGGTTCAGTCACAGGGAGCGGAGCCTGGGGGAGAAGTACCTCTGCAGGCCTGCCTGGCTGCCTGCCTGGGCTTCCTACCTGCCCCAGGGCGATGACAGGAGCAGGGGAGCCTTGGGACCTGCGGCTCCTGCCTGAGGCGCCTGCAATGAGTCTGTGGGGAGTTGAGAAGAAAAGCTAGAATGTAAGTTTCCTAGCAGGAGCCTTGTCTGTTTCCTCCATTCGCTGCAGGCCCAAAAAGCAGTGTTTCAAAAATACCTACAGGAAACAGAGGGTTTCAACTTCCGGCTTAGATTCTGCAGCCTCACCTCCTCCCTGGTTGGCTGGAGCCACATCGGAGAGAAACAAAGGTACCCTGGCTGTCCCAAAGATCGGAGCTGGGAGTCGACAGTGTGGCCTCCGTCCACAATGACCAGAGCTACTGTGGTGTGGGGACCTTCGTGCCAGCATCACCAGCATCACCCTGACCCCAGTAACAGCCCTGCTGGAGAGGCCGCATCTCCCGCCTTCCAGATGTGCAGAAAGAGGCTCAAAGAGGTCAAGACCTTTCCCCAATGTCCCCCCGCCACAAAGTAGGGGAGCTAAGCTGTCAACCCAAAAGTTAGGTGAATGTTCCGCTGAACTGAATCTCAGTCCTCTCCAGAAGTTAGCTCCGCCTAGGGGGCACTGATCTTGCAGAAGGGAGTATCTCGAGTAATGTCATCCTGAAGTCCCCAACCCCAGGGTAAACCCCCCACCTCCCACCACACACCCACGCACAGTCAGGGTTTCCTTTGTCACAGCTTTGGCCTAGTAGCCCTGACCACAGGCAGCACAGCCCTTAGAACATAAGCCTCCTTTGGTCAAATGGAGATTCTAAGAAGGTGTCTAACCTTGGCTAACTCACACTAGGAAAGGGGCGTAGAAATTATTTGGAGTCCCTCCCTAACTCCAAATGACCTCCTCTCGGTGGTCATTTACATAACATCACGCTCTTTAGGTCTCCCAGAGTCGCTGTGGACTAGGCAAGGCAAGTATTATTATCTCCAAACTCAGGTTCAGAGATGTTGAGTGACTTGCCCAAGGTCACACAGCAAGTCCTTGCCAGAGGCAAAATTAAAACCCTAATTATCTATGCGCACCCTATGATTCTGGCTCATTCTCTGGGGTTCAAAGAAAGACCAATAGGAAGTTTACCATCACCTTCCTTTTTCAATACAGAAGGTGACAAATGTGACTGTGTCTGCTTGAGTACCCTGAAAGTGCCCTCCTGCTGCTGGCTTTGCCAACCCCTTTCCAAATGGGGAAACTGGTCTCCAAAGAGGAAGGGGCTGGGCCCATCCTGCAGGGAGGGGAACCGGGAAGGGATCTGGGCCCTCCTAATGTCCATTCCAGAGCCCTGAGCACCCCATCATTATGGCAGATACAGCACCCTCCTTGTCTGCAAGACTCACCCCCACCCTCACAGCTTCTGTGGGTGGCAGGCGTGGCTGGGGGTAGGACAGGACCTCCCAATTGTCTGTGATAAAGTGGGAATGGATTTGCACACCCTCCAAAGAGGACCCGGCAGGTAGTAGGGCCACAGCTTTTGTTTCAAATTTGCTTTTTCAACTTTTAAGCCACTGTGGCATTTGGGAACAATTTTGGTAACTTTTTCCCTAAAATTAAGTTGAAGTGATTTTCAAAACCAATCATCGGCCTTGGAGGACACCCCACTTTGGGCTGGGGGTTGCGGGGACGGGGGGTGGGGGGGGGGCATAGAGAGCCGGAGCAGTCAGGAGAAGAGTTGTAACCCTCGAATGAACAAATGATGTGACAACACAGCAGCTTCCCAAAACAGGCTCACCTGCCCGCAGGGAGAAGGAACCATCTCCTGAGCAAGATGGAATCCCACCTGGACAGGGCCCTTTAAATGAGATCATTGCACATGCAAGTAACTCCCTCCGAGGCCCCTGCAGGAGAGCGACCCCCATCTCTAGCCCCAGGTGCAAAGAGCTGAGGGAGACCAACAGGGCTTGGCTCCACGCCAGGCTGCCTGGGTCCACCGGCCAAGAGCATTGCCAAGTCGCAGGGTGAACTCTGCAGCAGGCGGAAGTGGCCCATCTCGCCCGTCTGCAGGTCTCCAGGGGCTTCTTCAGGGCTGAAGGGCTAAAAATAACTTGGCCTTTGTTGTAAGCAGCGGACCACAGAGACGGAGCTGACTTCAGGGGAGCCGAGCATGCGCGAGGGTCCCGCTCAGCGAGACCTGCCCTTTGGGCAAATGATTTTCCCAGAAACCTGTCAGTTGTGCGCTGCTGCTGTTGCCACTGCCTGTGAGATTCAAAGACAGCCCAAGCTGCTCCAGCCTACAGGGTGGCCTTCCAACACAGACTTCTCAAAATCTGAGCCTCTTTCTTCTTGATCCATTAAAAAAAAAAAGTCCAGTCGGTACGGAGAGCTTAGGAGAGAAAAGCGGCCGTTGAGCTGAGGCTCTGCAAGGCCGCCACCTTGGTCATGAATAATCCCATCACCCCAGTTATTGTCTAGGTAACGACAATCTCTCCCCAATCCTAAAACTTCCAGAGTCAGGTCTCAGGACACAAGGGCAGACACACTCTTGGTGGAAGGAAAAATTACTTGGGAAAGGGAATTCATAGTGTCACATCAATACTGAAAGGTTTCTCAAAGGGGCAGTCCTTTTTACCTTTTTACCAACATTTAGATTTTCGACTGTGTAGGCTTCTTCACTTGCCTTCCTGGTTCTTGAGCCACCACCACCCTCACCCCCCTAGGAAAGCTCCAGACCAGGTGGGTTGGGAGGCAGAGTCTAACATCTTTCTCTGCCAGCGGCTGTGGCTTATCTCACCTCAAGGATGCCCCAGTTCGGCGGGTGAAGGAACCGCATAGCAGAGCCGCTCCTGATGGTAACAAATACTTCTTGGCTGTTGCAGGCCTCACAACTGTCTTCAGAATGTCTCTTCCCACCCCCCAGGGCCTCCACCTCCCTCCCCAGCCCCATGCACAGACCACCCTGGCTGTGATGCCACTGGACATCTGCCCGGTCCAGAAGGCAGCTCTTCCTCTTCAAGCAGACCAGGAACAAGGAGGGACTTTCACTATCAAGACGGCCTCCAGGCTCTGGGTCTAGAAGTTTCCAGAGAGGCTTCCTCACAGCCCTTTGTTCTTCCACTGACTTCAGGGGGAAGAGCCTAAGCTGGAGGCAGGAGGCTGGGAGAAGATTTCTTAGAAGACAATAGGTAGAAACAGCACACACACGAGTAACAGATGGTGGGAACCAGTGAGAGGGCCGCAGTGCTGGGCTGTTCTCCAAAAGTGCAAGATCCTTCTGGTTGAAAAAAGGCGGGCGGGCTGGAGTGTGGAGACCGGTGTGTGGGAGCTACGTAGACAGCTCGCCCTCTTGGTTCCGCGTGTCACGCCCTCTGGTTACTGGCTTTCCTCACAGTTGGTCTGTCTGGATACACGGGAGGAGGGGCTCAATCGGCTCTGAACTGGGCTCTGGTTCAACCTCTCCAGCAGCAAGTCACCTGCGGTGACCCGGGGCCCTAGGCTTGGCAGCCGAAGGCTGAGGCTTTCTCTTTGAGCAGTTCCCAGCACAAGTGGCAGCTCCAGCTTCCTACAAGAAACAAGACGGCATGACCAGCGGCACCTCTCCCAGCCCTCTAGCCCCACCCTGGGCCCTCACTTCTTCTAAGCCCTGTTTTCACAATTCAGAGAGCGAATCCCAGTGCTGAAAACGGGCTGGAGTCTGCAGCTCAGGAGAGCAAGTGCTGCTCAGAAAACCACAAGTGCTCAGGGAGGACCAGCTGAACTGTTGGAAAGACCCTCCCTCCTTGGTCCTGCCTCGTAACCAGCATCCCCAGGCCTGGCCAGCTCCCCTGGATGCTTCACCTCCCACCCTCTCAGCCACGTCTGGGAAACATCTCTCCAGGCCTCAAGTTGAAATTTCAGGTGGTCGAACTGTGCCTCAGTTTCTTCATCTGTCAAATGGTAGTGGTGGTACCTAACTCGTAGGGTTGTGACGATTAAATGAGACAAGATATGTAAAGCCCTTAGCACAAGGCCTGAACTCTAGAGGCCTCAATAAGTGGGAGTGGTAGCTGCTGTTGTGATTGTCGACCTCATCCCCATTACCTTCTGGGGGCTCAGCCACAGGGGGGTTTAAACAGTACATGTGGTAGCCACGGTCACAGTCATCACAGAAGAGTAGCTGGTCCTGGTGGAATACAGAGTAGGTGATGAGAAGGAGAATGAGACTGAATTATTTAAGGCCAATGTCTTCCCTACTCTACCAGCCTTCTATTTTTTTTTTTAAATTGAATGCCAGCTGAAACTGGCTTTCTTTCTTCTTCTTTTATTTATTTATTTTTTAATCCTCACCCAAGGACATGCTTTTATTGATTTTTATAAAGAGAGGAAGGAAGAGGGAGAGAGAGAAAAACATCAATGGGTGAGTGAAATATTGATCAGTTGCTTCCCACATACACCCCAACTGGGGATCAAACCTGAACAGGAATTGAACCCTTGACCCTTGGTGTATAGGACAATGCTCCAACCAACTGAGCCACATCGGCCAGGGCTCCACCAGCCTTATCTCCACGGATCAACCTCCCTGGACGCCCCTTTCCAGAACCCAGTTAGAGTCTTCATTGTCCCCTGAGCATGCTTTGCCCACACCTGGAATTTCCCCTTCTACCTCCCCAACTATGCAAATCCTACCCTTAGTTTCGGATTCTGCTCAAATCATACCTCCTCCAAGAAGCCTTTCTTGACTACCACCTTACATTTAAGCTAAAAGGGATTCGTTATTCTTTTGAACTCCCACAGCCGATAACTCTGCCTCTGTAAGGGCAAAAAACTAAATCTATGCATTTCTATATTCCCATGAGGATTGCCCAGTTCACAGAATATACTTTAGACGTCTGAAAATTGTACTTCAATTCCTCTGAACCTCACTCTTTCTATCTGTGAAATACGCAACAACTATACTTGGTGGTAATATCCATGACACCTCAGAACCATTTTAGTGTTTCATATGTGAATCTGGAGAAATGAAGCCATTTTTCAGCTCCCAAAACCTCCTCAGGAGCTGGAGGCTGGAGCCCAGGTGAGAACAGGGCCCTCCCGCTGTGGCTCATTTCCAAGGACACAGTATGCCCCTGGCCTCCTGCAGGTCCTTCTTCCTGGAGGCTCTCCCAGTCCCTGACCCCTTCTCTTCTGGACCATTCCTTGCCCACTCTTCAAGTTTTCAACCCCTTCTTCCCCCAGAGGCTTTACTAGTCTATCCCTACTTGCAACCCCATAGTTCTTTCCCGTATGACATTGAATTGCCTCTCCCCTTACATTACAAAGCCCGGTGTGTGGTAGACATCTAACTATTCTGTTAAATAGTTCATTTGGAACATGCCTCTTGTCCACTCCTCTGTGGACTGTGAGGCCCTTGGAGCAGAACCTTGAATTACTCATCTCTGCGTCTCCTTCAGAACTTCCTTGCACATAGCAGCTCCTCTGTAAAGGTTTGGGATCTGGTCACCACGCTCCAGCCCTGTTCTATTCAGTGATCTTTGGACCCACTGTGATAGCTTATAAGATGTTTGTAAAATTATGTTTTATATCAAATCTCACCAGTGCAGAGATCCTGGAAAAAGTAGATATAGAAGTTGGAAACCCCGGTGAGCAAACAATGAAGAGAGAGAGGTCATGAAAGGCCTTTTGAATCATGCCAAGACTTTTCAGTGGGGCAATGGGAGGCTTTTGAAGAGTCGGCAACAGTGGAGTGACATGGTCAGACTTGCAATTTAGAAAGATCTCACTAGCTACTGTACAAAAATAGTTACCCAGGTGGAGAGACATTGCTTCTAGAAACCAGAGACCAGTTAAAAGACTGCTGTAGCCATCCAGGTGGGAGATGACGGTGGCCTGAACTAGGGCTGTTGTCATGGGGGAAAGCAAAGGGCCCTTGCTCCCATCCAAGAGTCACCGACTAGATGTGGAGAATGACAGGGAAGAAATCGAGAATATCTCCTGGGTTATGGCGTGGACAGCAAGTCAAATACTATAGCTACCCACTGAGACATGGACAGAGGAACAGATCTATGGAAGGAGAGAGCAACCTCAGCTATAGATACTGGTATGTTCTACAGATTATGCGGGAGGGATGCCCTCGAGGCATGCGGAGGTCAGAAAAGGGGCCTGAGTGTGAGAGATGGATTTGGGAGTCATTTGTGATTAAACAGCAATGATGGTCCTGGGAGAGGAAGCCTAGAGTGTGTGAGAGAAGAAGTCCTTGAATTTGTGCTCATGGAAAGGTGTGCATGAACTCCTTGAAATTATATGCACAATTCTGTATACAGATAGAAATATTGGATGTGAGGGCGATCTGGCTGCGACATCTGTCACCCCATTGATCGCCAGGGTTGATTCGGCTGATCTGGCTGGCTAGGCGGGTGTCCCCCTCCTCCCTCACCGATCCATGTGCGTCCCTCCCGAAGCTGCGCGCTCGGTCGAAGAGGACGACCTTCCCCCCCGAGGAGAGGACCGGTCTTCGGTCAAGGGTATACGAGTAGCTGCGCTCCCCTGCTAGAACCTCCAAACAAGCTCTCAGATAGAAATAAATGTACATTTTTCTGAGGAAAGAGTAGCTTTCATTGAAAAGCTACTTCTGAAAAATCAAGGACTCATCTAAGGTTCTGAGACAAAGGCCAAGAATAGACTTTTGGAAAGAAAAAAAAGAGACTAAGAAGCAGTCAGAGAAGTAGAATGAAAACAGGACAGGGTGGTTTACTCCAAAAGAGTTACACCATGGTTGTCAGAGCAGAAGTAAGCTATATGACCATATAATACAGGGGTAATGTGAGGAGAGAGAAGTTAGGATGAAGACAGAAAATAGGGAGAGACTCATCAGAAACAGTATTACCAGTGTCCTGATAACCCTACTACAGTGCCAACATGAGAAATACAAGAAGGTTGAATGCCCAGATTGAACTCTCCTAAAGGGAAAGCAGGCATCTGTGGGTTTAAATGATTTTTGCATGGGTTGATCACTATCTAACACCATAATCTCTTCTTTCCCATCTGCTTTTCAGAATAATTGCCTGTCAAAACCACCAAGAAATCCCAGCTCATGCTAACCCCCATGAGAAACACAGTTTAAGGACCTTTTACTCCCAAGTATCCAAGAAGCAGGATCCACCTATGGCTACAGTTCCAGAGAATGGGAATCCCACTCTGGGGTGTGCAGTACAAATCCCTGACTATGTGAGAGGAACCCTATTGCCCAAGCAGCCTCACCCCTTGATTCTTCCCCTAAGGCTCTGCCAAGTCAACATCAATAAAAACACCTCAGCATGAACACTCTATGTAAAGCCAAGGATTAGAATCAACTGTAGGCAGAAAATAAGATTATATTTATGTATTGCTTTGTAGTAATCTCCAGAATTTTCAATAAAAAAGCAAGGTGAAGAAAATATGTACATTGGTTGCCATTTTCTAAGATGCATCCATGTTTTTATGGACTCATTTGCACATACATATGCTTACACTAAAACAAAATGGGAAGATAAAACATGACTTTTTAAATGGTTACCTATAAGCAAAGTGAGAGGACAGTGTAAAAGAGATAGGGATAGAAGCTAGATTTCTTTGACTATACTATTTATTTTATAAATTTGATTTTGGAGCCAGTAAATATTTTACAAAGTCATAAAGCAAAATTCACATTTTAATTATCCCTAAAAACAAAAGAAGAATGAAACAAAGCCATCTAATTATGTATTAGTTGATGACATAGCCAAATAGAAAGAAACTATTCCAAGTGACTTTAAAATAAGTTGATTGATTGTACATCCTTAGTCAAATACATATTAGGACAAAAATAAGTGCAAATGTGTGTGTGTGTGTGTGTGTGTGTATTTCTTTTTAGAAATCATATTGTTGTTGATAATAGTGGAATTGATAGAGACTTTTGTGTGTGGATTAAATGGGTGGTATTTTGAAGAAACAATTTTGACATAGTTGAAAGAAAATATAGATGTAAGATCAATGATGTTAAATAAAAACTCTATAGTTAGTCCTGTGCATGGATTGGAAGTATCAATGTTACTTTATAGTGCTTTTTATCTTTAAAACAAACAAAACATATTTTCTAGCTCTGTCCATTGAAAATGCCCCAAACTATGAATAATACAGTAAAAATCAGCACCCCTAGCATTCATGTTATGTTCTCTAAAGATCATTGCCCACTTAAAAACACACACACATAAATCCTTGGAGAAATGGCTGATTTCAGGTCTGGAGCTTAAAATTAATAAGTACTTTTATATATTGGAAAACAAGGACACTCTCAAACTATTAGAGTCATAAAGACTCAGGGTGCCTGAGTACAAAACCTCAGGATCCTCCCTAATTACATTCCCATTGGCCAAAGATGGGACAATTTTAACTGTAATGGGTTGAAACAAATTAAATATGTTTAAATCCTTGATTTCATAAAGATACTATATTTTTTTAAAAAAAACTTTGTTACCTTTGGAAGATGCTAGGAAACATCCCATTATTTTTTATTATGAAATACTTTTAGTCTTAAGGAAATGTTGCAAGAATTGTACAAAGAGTTCCTGTACACACTTTATTCGGTTTCCCCTAATGGTAACATCTACATTATCATAGTACAATCATGACAAGCAGGAAATTACCCTAAACATGACACTACTAACTAATCTGCAGACTCATTTAAATTTCACCAGTTTTCCCACTTATGACATTTCCCCCAGGATCCCACTTTGTATTTACTTGTCATGTTTTCTCTTTTTTAAATCATTTTTTATTTTTCAGTTACAGGTTGACATGTTCTCTGTATCTATGAGTCTGTTTCTGTTCTGCTTATTTATTTGTTTTTTATATTCAATTGATGATAGATATGTATTCATTGCCATTTTATTCCTTCTCCTTCTCCTCCTCCCTCTCCTTCTCCTCCTCCCTCTCCTCCTCCTCCTCTTCCTCCTCCTCCTCCTCCTCCTCCTCCTCCTCCTCCTCCTCCTCCTCCTTGACCCTTTCACATTTCATGTAATACTGGTTTGGTGTTGATGAACTCCTTTAACTTTTTCTTGACTGGGAACCTCTTTATCTGTCCTTCAGTTCTAAATGATAGCTTGGCAGGATAGAATGATCTTGGTTGTAAGTCCTTGCTTTTCACACTTTGAATATTTCTTGCCAATG